GGGGGGCCCCCCCGGGGGGTTAAAAAAAAAATTTTTTCCCCCCATGGCCCCTTTCCCAAGGGGTTTTATGGGGTTGGATAAAAAACAATTCCCCTTGGGGGGCCCGGGTTCAACCCCCCCAGTGGGGAAAATTTTGTTTGAATTTTTTTGGGGGGAAATTTTTTTTTTTTTTTTTTTTTTTTTTTTTTTTTTTTTTTTTTTTTTTTTTTTTTTTTTTTTTTTTTTTTTTTTCCCAACAGCGTTCTTCTCTGAAAGATTGCTCGAAATGTTAGCCAAATATCCACACCAATCAAATCCACTACGTACCAATCAGGTAGTCCGAAATCCCCTGCTATTGAACAAAAATCTAAGAAAAAAAAACTTCTTAAACTAGATAGGTTGATTCAACTATACCCCTAACCTCACTACTTCTTAAACTAGATAGGTTATTCCAACCTTACCCCAACCCCTACTTCTTCTTATAAATAAACACTGTCGCTTACACTAATAATATTTATTATATTATTAAGTAAGCTTTTTTAAAAAAAAAAAAAAAAAAAAAGAAAGATTGTTAAGCTTTGTTTTTAACCTACCATATTCATCGTTGTATTCTATTAATTAAACTAAAAAAGGATTGTAATAATAAAATGAAAAAATGATAAAATAAGCAATCTAATTACAGATATAAATTTCAAATTAAATCAATTAAACACTATTTTTAAATTATTTTTAGCTAATTAAATAACATCGACTCAACAAACAAACTGTTTTTTAGAAGTAGATGATTTCCATAATTAAAAACATTAATAATAAAAAAAATCAAATCAAATTAAATAAAATATTAAAAAGAAAAATAGATGGATATTTTTTTATGGCTATGCTTTTTTATTTAATATATTTTGAGATAGTGTTTTAATGAGATCCTTTTGACTTCCTTTAAATGAACCTGGTTTTATTCTTTCTTTTTTCTTTTTTAGGTTAAATGAACTATTTCTTAGTGATGGTCGATTGGTTAATATCTGCATTTTTATTTTCAGGTTATAAGTGTTCCAATAAGCTATCAATTCTCTTTTTAAATTTATTTTTATTTAGAAACTAAAAACAAATTAAATAAAAATGACGTCATGAATAAATGAAAAAAAATTATAATTAAAACAAACTTATTCTAACTATGATATATTTGTTTGTTAAAAAAGAGATTAGTATTAAATTAATAATTTTGTTAATATTTTAATTAAAAAATATATTTTTTTATTATTTTTTTTAAAAAATTTTTTTTTTTTTATAAAATTTAATTAATTAATCAATTTAATTAATTAATCATATTTTTAAATTTAAAAATATGATTTACATTAATTTCATTCATTACATTCAAAGATAAAATGGCCCAATAAAGAAATTTTGGGGTAATATAATTATTTTAGTTTTTTTATTAATGTGGAAATATAAAAATTTATAACTATTTTGATCACAACTGTTTAAATTCATATAAAAACTGGGTGGCCATAACCCCCATTTTTTTTTTTAAAATCACTTTAGATTCATTTCTTTTTGTGGTAAATTTCATTTTTTTTTTTATTTTTTTTAAATTTTAATATTTTAATTTTTATTTTTTATTTTTTTTAAATTTCATTTACATTTTTTTTTTTGCAATTTAAATTTTAAATTATAAAAGAAATTTTTTTTTTTTTTTTTTTTTCTTAATTATTTTATCAATATACAAATTACTCCATACATTTATTTTGTTATAGTATTTTTTTCAAAAATAAAATTTAATATCACCAATAATTCTCAACATCAAATAAATCACCATCAGATCAACCACTCTTTGATTCAACACAATAATGGATTTTTCAGATTGGGTAGTTTACTTTTTTATGGCAGCCATTAGTTTTTTAATTGGTTTTGTATATGATTGTTCAACCCATTATATAAAATTAAAACAACAACAACAAGCCAGAAAAGATTTAGAAAAAGAACAATTATTAAAAATATCAAATTTAAAACATCAAATTAATAAATTTGAAATTGAAAATAAAATCCATCACAATAACCTATCAATTGAATCAAAAAAACAAGAACTAATCGATCAAATAAATAAAAATGAGCTAGAAAAATTAATTAAAGTTAAAGATGACCAATCCTTAGAAATTAACCAATTATTTAGTTTAATTAATCAACAAAAACAATCATCCCAACTCCATGAAATTAAACAAGGTAGATTGGTTAAAGAAATAGACTCTATCAAAAATGAATTAGATAATCAAATTAGTAATTCAAATCAATTACAAGAGCAAATATTGAAAAAAGATGAAATGATCCAATTGCTTGAAAGAAAGATTGAAGCAGAACGTCAAGCTTTATACCAGCTCTCAATTGAACACATTGAAGCATTGGAGAAATTAAATTTAAAAGAAGGTCAATCAGAAACTTTAAATAAGGAAGAAAATGATGAAATTTCAGATATTGAAGAGTATAGCGAATTTTCAGATTTTAAAGAGAATGAAGACCATTGAAGTCTCATATTTAGGTTGTGATCATTTTTGTTTCGAAGAAGAGTTTATTTTATTCAAGATAGATCAAATGCAAACATTGATAACCTTATTGATATTGATTCATATTGAAATCGATTGGGATAAAATTAATTAAATATCTTCTTTCAAAGTTCGCATATGAAAATGAGGAAGACTAAATTATTAATTATATCGTTCCATTCTATTTTTCAATTTATGATTTTGATAAAGTTGAAAACAGTTATCAAGTGTATCATCAAAGAAATAATCTAATCTCAGAAATCGAAGAAATTATGCACAACAGAAAAAAGCTCAAAAAATATTATAAATGTTCCAGTATTTATTTTATTAAATTATTAAGGTAACTATAAAGATTATATTTACATAATTATTATCTTTAAATATAAAAGAAACTAATATTTAATTTCAATACCTATTTCAATATTTTCAGTTTCAACATGTTCTTGTTTCAAATCACTTTTTCATTTAAAAGCTCACAATTCACCCCCACCACTACCACTACAATCCTTCAATGGAATCACCATATTAAAAACTATTATTAATATTTTTAGTATCAATAATTCATTACGATTAACCATAATAATTAAATTAGAAGTATAATTAATATTAAACATAAAAATATAGCCAAATATCATTAGTGTTTACAGAATAATTCAAATAATTAGAGAAGTTTAATAAATTAAAAGATTTTATCAATTTTTATAACTTAATTCTTTATTTTATTTTTGTATTATATTTTTTTTATAAAATTTTAATCTTTTTCGATAAAAAATCTGGTATTATAGGGTAATTCTATTTGAGTAACGGTTTTATTACAATGATTTATGACTAAATCAAAAAAAAACTTTTTAAAAACTATGCTTCTTCAAATTGTGGATTAAATACTTGAGATTAAAAATTATCTTTATTCTCAGTTTTTACCCATTTAAAAATTTTCCAAGTGATACAAAAAAGGATAACGATAAAGATAATTTTCAACCTCTACCCAAATCTATAAGTATTTAAAGCAAATAATATTTATTAAGTTATAAATGTTATTTATGTTATTAAAAATGTATATTTTCGAACTAAAACCGAAAAATTATTTATTTTTATTTTTTTAAAATTATCTTTGTCTATTTCCAATTTACTTCTTTTCACCCATACCCAATCATATCAATATCCTCTTTGTCTTTATTGTATTAAATAGCTTTTTCTATCTGTGCATCCACCATATTATCTTGAGCAACATGTCTATATACCTGTAATCCTTCTGTATAGCTGATATTATATACTTAATAATATTTAACGGTACTCTGCTTTGTAACCATAAACCACACTCATTGGGTGTTTAATGTGTTGATATGGGGGTGTTGGTGTTTTCTTTTTCAGTTTTTCGTTTTAATAACCCGCATGGTTCGATTATATTTCCTTTATTAACTTATTCTATAGAGAAGTTTCTTCATCATTTTCTAAATTTCTTTTTAATATTTTGAGACTGAAAAGAATTGAAATTATTCTAAAAAAGAATTAAATATTAGTTTCTTTTATATCCAAATTATTAATAATTATATAAATATTAACATTATAATTACCTTAACACACATATTGACATTTACTATAGAAAATAGTTATAAAGAAAGAGAAATCATTATAATTAAACTATATACGAATTAAAATTAAATATTAGTTTTTTTATATTCAAATTTAATATTATATATGTAAACATTAACTTAATAGTTACCAAAAGAGAAGTATTGCATGAAACCTGGAACTTCTTTAACCTTTTTTAGAAGATTTGAGGATAATGCAATGAATGGTAATGTTTGTCCAATGATGTTGTTTTCTGATTTAATCTTGTTTGATTTCGTTACCTTAGGGAATGAATACGCACATATTGACATTTACTATAGAAAATGGTTATAATGAAATAGAAAGCATTATAATTAAACTATCTATATTTATATATTTTACTTTGTATTTAACTTTTTGAAATTTTATTTTTTTAAAAAATTATATTATAAAAATTCAAATTTTTTTTCATTTTTTTTCAAAAATATAAATAAAAAAAAATTAAATTATATTAAATATATTTAATAAATAGAAAATAATATATAAAAAACAGTAGTGGTGGAGGATATGATTGTTGTATAAAAAAATAGTGGTGGTAAAATTTTTAATACTTTTTTTTTTGAATTATTGGTGCTTTAAATAAAAACTTTTTATTAAAAAGGGGTTTAAGTTTATTCAAGATAAATAAATAAATAAATAAATTAATAAATAAATAAATAAATAAATAAATTAATAAATAAATAAATAAATAAATAAATAAATAAATAAATAAAAAAATAAACAAATAAATGAATGAAAAAATTAATTTAATAAATAGAAAAAAAATAAAGATTTTAGGGATAATTTAATTTTATTTTTTAATTTTATATACTTCTTAACCCATCACAATACTTGTTGTAAAGTCAGTTTATTAAACAACAAGTATTGTTATGGGTTAAGAAGTATAGTAAAAGATATCAATGTCTCTTAAAACTTTGACCCTAAATTCTCGCCATAAATGCTAATCTTTCCTTTAGCCTCCTTCAAACTCATTCATAATTTGTTTTCACGCTCCGCCTTGTTGTCGTGATCCTTCATAAATTTGATGTAACCGTTCCATTCCAATTGCTCCTTATTGTTGATGATGTACTCCCTAGTGATATCTCTAAACTTGATACAACTTTCCTTATTATAAATACTACCTGGGTTAATTGTTCGAGTTTCTCTTCAATTTTACTATAGCCATAGTTATTTAAGTGGAACAAAGCACGTTCACCATATTTTTAAACTTCGTTGATTACTGTATATTGATTTATAAAATGTTTCTTATCTTGAATTATTAACTAAAATGATATATAATAAGCAGTGATTACATTACATATCCCCTTTCTTGACAAGATTCCCAAAATTGAATGAAATTTTTTTTTATGTTTGTGGTTGAGTTGATTATTGTGTTATACTTGTTTATTAAGTCTCTTCTGGTGTGTTAAAAAATTATTCTCGACTGGAACTGTTTTTGCAAGTTCATCTTCAAATTGACGTACTAACATAGGACAATCTTCTAAGTAGTGCTGTGGAACCCATACATCGTTATCTTCACCAGCATTCGACTGTACTGTTACTAATGATATTACAAATATCATCAATATCACTCTTCAACTTCATACGGCTAACAGTCTTGCTGACTTGATTCTCAACTTCTACAAAGTTTTCACTAAAGTTTGCTCATCCCTAACCTTACTGAGTTGGTTTACTCTGCTTTCTAAATGCTTGATATCCCTATCTTTATCAATTATTATTTTAATTCTGCATTTTCATGACTTATCTTCGAGCTTCTTCTCACGTCTTTCTGCGTTCTTTTTAAGAAATGTAACTTCATTCTGTAAGTCTTGGCAAATCGACCTACACATCTGGATCTTATCCATATCTTCCTTACGTACAGAGACCAAAAGATATTCCTTACCCTCGACCATACGTTTCATTTCAGCCAAATCAATTTGAAGTCTTTTGATCACCTCTTTTAAAAGGTTTCCTTCAGCTAATTTACTTCTGCTGTCATCAACGGTTACTTTTCATCATGTTTTTTACTGATTAATTATTACTATTAATTATAACTATTATTAAATTATGTTTATGTAAAAAAATATATTATTCTAAACTATTATTGTTCTAATAAATTATCTATTCGTGGTTCAACAATTTCTTTTTGTTTCGACCCCTCGAGGGCCTCAATACAACTAGATAAATATGTGTGGAAAAAAAAAAAGTGTAATGTAGGTACAAAGCAAATAATATTTATTAAGTTATAAAACTATAATTATTTTTGTTATGCAAAAATATGTATTTTCGAATTAAAATCGAAAAATTATTTTTTTATTTTTAAAAAATTTTTATTTAGACACAAAAAAAAAAAAATTTTAATTTTTTTAATTATTTTTTTAAAAATAAACTGTTTTTAAAAATTATTTTTTAAATATTTTTATATTTTTAATTATTTGAATATTTAAATTATTAAAAATTATTATTATTAAAATTAAATAAAGTATTTAACTTAGTTGATTAATGTATAAAATGATTATAAAGTGTTCTTATCTTGAATTATGAACTAAAATGAAATATAATAAGTAGTGATCATTACAATATAATATTTTTTTTTTTTTTTTTTAAAGTGAAGATTAAGATAATTTAAAGCAAATGCTTTAAATTAATCAGAATTCGTTCGACCACTTGGCTATCATTGCTCCTCAGAAAAAATAAGTAGTGTGTGTAATGTAATCACTACTTATTATATATCATTTTAGTTAATAATTCAAGATAAGAATCATTTTATAAATCAATATACATTAATCAACGAAGTTTAAATACTTTTTATAATTTAAATCAATTAAAATTATAAAAATATTTAAAATAATTTTTCAAAATTAAAAATTTAAAAATTTTAAAAAAATAAAAATAAAATAATTTTTCGGTTTAGTTTGAAAATAAACATTATTCATAACTTAAATAATTATCGTTTTATTACTTTAATAAATATTATTTACTTTAAATAACTAATAGATTTGTACCTGCATTACATGTGTAATGTATTACATTACAAAAAAATATATTTTTGACAGAATCCAATTTTTCCCGGAAAGACCCATTGTTCTCTAATGAGTGGGTCTCTCCAGATCATCTTTTCATTGCTGTAAGGAATTCTTGAAAAAATATTTCCAATTTCAAAATTTATTATCTCAAAAAAAATAAAAAATATTAAATTATGGGACTAAATATCCTCCCTACCATACCATTATCCAAAAAAAAAAAAAACAAGTGGAAAAAATGAATAATTTTTCGAGCAAGGTTGGAAAAATCAAATATTAACCAAAACGAAAGGCTTAAGACTATTTATCAAATTATGGAAACAGTCACAATGGTTTTATTTAATTAAAGGTATTTAAAAATGGCTCTGCAAAGGAATTAGTAACTGATAGAGTGCAGGTGGTCAAGTGAATTAAAGGATTATGTCGACATTAATACGCTTGGTCATCTGCTCTTTACCAATGAAAACTTTAAGCCCAATTCAATTAAAATTATCACCAAAAATGGTTATTAAACGATTATCACCATTTTTACCTGGAGAGCCATAAACAGTTGGTGGGTGTCAGATAGTTTTGTATGAAGTTTTAAAATCTTTTTTTTAAATATTTTTTCCCACATTTTTATTTTTAAATTTTTATATTTTTTTTATTGTTAATTTAATAATAAATAGTATAAAAATAATAGTATATAGTAAATAAACAAAATGAGGTAAAGTGATGAAATTCGATAGTCAACATTATCATATAGAAACAGAGGTCATAAATCGAACTCAAAAATTACAAATAAATTGGTAGTGCATAAATCAACAGTAGCAAAAATATTAGAAATAGTGGACTAAACAGGTGCAATCAATAACCGTCAACGTCCTGGGAGAAAAAAAAATGTTTGGCTACGTGTTGAAGGTGTTTTATGTTTCAATTTTTTAAATGGTAAATTTAACAATATAAAATAAAGTATAATTTGGTATGAACAAAATGGATATGGAACAATATCAAACCCATACTCAATTGGCAATGTAGAACTAATTATCCAATCCAACAAAAAAACTCGATAAAGAAAATCAATGATAATCAACTCACAAATATGCAATTAAATTAAGAGCCAACAAATAAAACAGTCATTTCAGCACAACCATAACCTTATCAAGAAAAACAAGTACAAACAATTCAAAAACAGGTACAACCAACTCAAAAACAGGTAAATCAAACTGATCAATCAGGTCATCAAGGGAACTCAAAAGATCAAAAAACTCCAAACAAACAACACAAGCAAATCACATTAGATGCATTCTTCCAAGAAAAGCACAATGATGAACTACCAGATATAAGAGTAGATTTAACAATTGCAGAAAATGAAAAAAACACAATTAATATAAAAAACAAATAAAAAGATGATCAAGAATAACATCCAAAGGAGGACGAAGAATTGATAGAGGAACCACTTATTGCAGATTAGCCACATTAGAATCAGGAGGAAACATCTCAACCTATAACGAAAAATTGTCGAAATTATCAACCCTAAAGCTATTAACCAAACCAAAGCTCGCTCCAAGGAAAAGAGATATGGTAAGAAAGAAGAAAGAAGTCTTGCTATCAGGAAAAGACCTATGTAAAGAATAAAAGAAAGAGTCATTGAGAATTATTTAAAACTTCTAAATAGAATAGAGAAATAGGCGCACAAATCTAACAAAAAAGAATCTCAATTACAAAAGACAATAAGAAAAAAAAATTAAAATTAAATAACGAAAAGTAAATCAACTAAAATGAATTAAATAAATAAATAAAATGTGTTAACTGTTGCAAGTCAAAAATGCGTGGTTAACAATTACAAAAAAAACAACTAAGGAGTGATAAAAATACAAAAAAAAATACACTTTAATTTTTATCATGATTTCTTTTTATATATTTTTTTAGTGGTTTTGGAAATGGTTTTGGTAGAAATATTGTTGGCAGAAATGAGAATTTAAAAGATAGAGATTTATTACATTAAATAAATCTTTTAGTTTTTTATATATGATATTTTAACTAATTGTGTGGTGTTATCAATGAGAAATGTGCTATATCCATCACAAGTTGGCCGTTTATTTGTTTTATAAAAATTAAAATTAAAAAATGAAAGTTTTTTTTATTTAAAAATAAAAAAATAAAAATAAAAAAAAAATAAAAAATAATTTAAAATTTTTTTTTATTTTTGTTTTTTTAATAAAAAACGATTATACAATAATTATTTATTTAAATAATTATAATAATAATAACAATGATAAAACCATTTTCTAAATATAGGCTTATATCTAATAATATATTATTTAAACCCAATTTAGTTCTAAACAATGAAAGATTTAAAACCGATAATTATTCCCCCTCATTAAAAAATTTAAATTCAGAATTAAAAGGTTATTTTGATAAATTAAAAAATAATAAACCCAAACAACAACAACAAAAACAACAACAACCAGAACAAGAAATAAAACCAAATATAGATGAAGTTGCCGATAAAAAAATAAAAAAGTTTAGCAAATTCACATTTAAAAACGATAATAATAATGTTTATAATGACGACAAAAACAATGACTATGGTAATAACAACGATAGAAATAGTAATAATATAAATAAATTTTATAAAAATAAAAGTTTTGATAATAATAATATATATAATAAAAAAAATGATCATAAATTTAATAACAATTATAATAGCAATATGAACAAATTTTACAACAATAAAAACGATACATATAATAATAATAATAAATATAATAATAACAACAATAATACATATAATAATAATAACAATAATAATAGAAATAATAAATATAGCAAAAATAATAACTTTGATAGTTTCAATAATAAAAGAGAAAAGACAGAAGTTAATTTACCAAATGCAAATATTGAATTAAAGTATTTACAAAGTATAAATAAAATAAATAAGCAATCAGATTTTTGGGTAGAGTTTAAAAAAGAATTAAAAGAAAGACCACAAGAACTTTTCAAAAATAGAGAAAATCATTTAAAATATTTAAAATACTTTTCAACTGTAACACCAGAGGTTCAATTTTTAAACTATGAAACATGGTACAGAATTAGAAGAATCAACTTTTTAAAAAATGGTGGTAAAGAGTTTTTAGATTGTTACAATGGCGATTATATAGAGGCCATCATATCAAATTTCCCACAATACAATTGGAAGAGATTTAGATTCCCAACATGTCCAAAAAGCTATTGGTTAAAAGATGAAAATGTAATCGAATACATTGAATGGTTGGTTAAAACTACAAAAAAGGATATAAATAATAAGGATGATTGGCATTATATTTCAAAGAAAGATTTCATTAGAAACCATGGTCAATATTTAATCAGTGAATATGAAACCGTCAATAATATATTCCTCAAATACTATCCAGATCATAGTTGGAAATCATGGTTATTTGAAAAGTTCCCAAAGTAAGTATAGAGAAGAAAAAACAAAACATAAAAAAGAAAAGTAGTATATTAATAAAATATATTTTTACATTATAGGGATTATTTTGAAGAAAATGAAAATATTAAAAAATTCATTATTTGGTTGGGTCAAGAAATTTTACATTTTAAAACATGGGAAGATTATTATAATTTAAAACTATCGGATTTCAAAAAGAATAATGGTTTCAGAATTATTAAAGAGTTTGACAAGTCAGTATATTTACTAGTATCCGAAGTTTTAAAGGACGAATATAAATGGGTACCATGGAAATTTAGAATTATACCAAAGAAATATGTAAACGAACAGATTCTACTCAAATATTTCGATCATTTATTAAAAGAATTAGGAGTTGAAACAAGAGAACAATTAATCGAGTATGAAAAGAATGATCCAACATTGGTACAGAGAACAGAAGGTACTCAAATTATAAATGAATTTGGTGGTTCAATCGAAGAGGCTTATAAAAAACTAGAGGTCTATAGACTCAGGGTCGAGGAGACCATCGATGAAGATGATGACGAAGACAGTTTTGATGATAACTACGAATTTGACAATTTAGAAGATATCTTTGATGATTCCGATGAAGATTCCACAGGACAAGATCAATCAGTTAAAGAATCAAAAAAATCAAAAAAAAGAAAAATTAACCCACTAAAATTAAAATAAATAATCATTTAATCATTTTATTATAAAAAATGATAAAATAAATTGCGCAGTAATCAAAAACGCATCACTGATTTTTTTATTTTTTTATTTTTTTTTATTTTTTTTTTTTATTTTTATTTTTTTAATTTTTTTTTTTTTTATTTTTATTAACTAACTTTTTATGTTTTTGTGTGTTTATAAACATTTGCATATAAATCAAAAATGAAATTTACTATTGCTGTTGTTTTCAGTATTTTATTATTAACTTTTATTACATCAACCTTAGCTTTTCAAAAAGATTCTTTTAAAGCTTCAACTGTAAGCTGTGATCTTTGCGAATTTACTGTTGGTGGTGCAGAGTAAGCTTTTTATTTTTACACAACTAATAGGACTAGTCGAAAAAAAATAAAAAAATAAAGAAACCTTGTTTATTAATTTAAAACTTTTGGATATATAGATATCTTATTAAAAATTTAAGTTTAAGTCAACAAGAAGTCGATGCAGAACTCCAAAAGATCTGTACTATTGTTCCAGCTAATATGACTAAAGAATGTAAATTCTTTATGCTTTTTACTGGTCCACTTATTACAAGTGCCCTTATTAAAGGCGAAAACCCAGAAACTTTATGCACCACTTACAAATTCTGTGCTCCAGAAACACCATCACCAACTCCAACTAAAGCTGCTTTACAATCATTAATTGGTAATGATAATCACGATTTAAAACCACATGCCAATAAGAATAACAACAACAACCACCATAAAGATTTAAAAATTAAATTAAATCATTAAAAAAAAAAAAAAAAAAATTAAAATTTAATTTTAAAATAGTAATATAACTTATATTTTAGTAATAAACAATTTTAACAATAATAAAAACAATGATTAAAAAAATTTTTTTTGGGTTTTTTTCCAATCATTTTTTCTGTTTTTTTTTTTTTTTCTTATTTTTTTTATTTTTTTTTTTTATTTTTTTATAATACTGGTAAATTTTATATATATTTTTTTTTTATTTTTATTTTTGTTTTTTTTTTTTCTTTGTTTTTTTCTTTGTTTTGTTCATTATTTTATTTATTTATTTTTTTTTTATTATAGCTTTATTATTATTAAAAAGAAAGAAAATGAAAAAGTGTATTTTAATTATATTTAGCATTTTATTATTAACTTTTATTTCATCAACAGTTGCTCTTGAACAAAATTCAAATAGTGCTGTTGATGAAACAAATTATGTTTGCGATTTCTGTCAAATTACTATTGAAATTACAGAGTAAGATATTATTGTTTTTATATCAAAATATAAAGAAAATATTAACTTTCTTTTTTTAACCCACACATAGATTCCTTATTAAAAACTATAGTATGACCAGAGATCAAATTGAAGATAAACTTTCAAGTATTTGTACTTATATTCCAGTAGAGTATAAAAAGGAATGCAAATTCTTTATGCTTTTTACAGGACCAATTATTTCTAAATCACTCTATAAAGGTGAAGATCCATTGAAATTCTGTACAACTTATGGTTTATGTTCAGCAACTCAAAAATCACCAGTCAAAAATTTAATTGTTAAATCATTTGTTGATGACTTTAATCAACAACAATCACAACAAATAATTTCTAAATAAAAATTTAAATTATGTGTCTAAATTCAAATAATTAATTTTTGAATCTGTTCGGAAAAAAAAAGTGTTGTTTAATAAATGAGGTGTTTTGATGTGTTTATAAAATTCATTTTTTACAAAAAAATTATACAAAAATAAAACAATTGTTGATCTTCAAATTGAATATAAAATCTTTATTTATTTATATATTTTTAATATTTTTATTAATCGAAAAATAAAATATTAATTTTATATGTAAAAAAAAGACTTTGAAATTAAAATTACCATTTCCCATATTATTAATAAATTTATTTAAAAAAAAACTGCATGAACCAGGACAACCCAAAATTAAAAAAAAAAATATTTATTTGCAAAAAAAAATCATCAAAAACCGAACAGACTACCTAAAAAAATAGGTTCAGATTTTTCCGAAAAAAAAATTTAAATACCAAAGTTTTTGAATAAATATTTTAAAATTTTTATTTATTTTTAAAATTTAATTTATTTATGTATTATGACCTTAAAAAAATGAAGCTGGTTTTATTGTTATTATTTCTATCATTCACTATCTTTTGTAAAGGTGAGTTAAATGATAACTCATTTCAAACATGCATATTTGAAAATTTAGAAGGAGGAGTCATTGATTTATCATCACTTAAAAAGTATAATATTATTTTTAGTTTTTTTTTTTTTGGATTAATATAAAATTTAAATAAAGATTTGGTAGATGAAAATTATTAATTATTCCACAATCATCATTTTTCACTGTATTTCCCCTTTTTTTCTAATTTTTTTTTTTTTTTTTTGAAACTTAATAAAGTGAAGATTATTCTTTTAAAGCAAATGGTGATAATCTAGAAGTAAGTTGTTTTTATTATTATACTATTTTTTATTACATTAAACTAATAATCAATAAAATAAATTTAGTATTTCTTCTCTTTTTGTGGCAGTTCTTTAATATGCACTAAATATTTAGGTATGGCTACTGTTGAATCATGTCAATATAATACACAGAGTGGCTTTGTTTATGAAACTGGTAGTCTCTTACAAAGCCAATATTCATTTTTTAACAATGATACCGAAGGTAACTCAGGTATTACACTCACTTACAGCTCATCAGATAGTGTGCAATGTTCAAGTGGTTATAGAATTACCAACTTTAATTTTATTTGCAATGCTAATGCTAATTTTTCAATTGTTGCATTTACTGAAGATCCTCAATGCACTTATAATTTTTATATAGAATCATCAAAAGCATGTATTTCAACACCAACACCAACACCAGTACCAAGCAAAATTATTCCAAATAGTTGTATATTCCCATTTGGTTCACAATCTATCGATTTATCTTCATTGACTCTGTAAGTTTATTAATTTTAATATTATTTTTTTATAGGTTAATATCACCATAGTTTACTAATCACTCTTAATTTATTAGATCAGTATATCCTGGATATAGCATATATTATTCAATTACAGATACTAAATATTATTTCAATTTTTGCCAATCAAGCGCATATTGTTCAAAACTATTCCAAAAAAATGTCACTTTATGCTCCCAAATTGATAATAATGAATTTATTATCGCATATACTGATTCAGGTATATATGAAATAAAAGAAAATGGAATACAATTAACTTATAGTAGTAATGGCCAGCCAAATTGTAATAATGGTGAATCTCCAACATCTGCATCATTTGAAATGGTTTGTAATCTTTCAGTCAATTTAGAAATTTCAAATTTCAACATTTCATCTGATGGATGTAGTATGAATTTTGAGTTTCAAAGTATCCATGCATGTATTGGAGAGAACCCAACTAGTTCACTAACATCATCATCCTCTCCAACTTTAGATGATAATGAAATAGATTACCAATAAATAATTTAAAATTAACAATTACATATAATAAAGCTTTATTATAATATATTTTAATAATTTAACATTTTTTTTATTTATTTATTTTTTATTTAACAAAGGGATTTTATAATTATATACAATTATATTTTAAACATATGCTGGAATTCTGAAAATGTTGTAGATTGAAATAAAAGTAACAGTTGGTTTCTTTGAAAGCCAGTATTGGTTTTCGTTTATTGATTGATCACTATTGGATAATGGGTAGCCACTAGCAACTTTATTTACCAAACTATTGGAGTTGGAGTTTAAATTATTTGAGGTTTTTGAAATAGAAGTAATTGATCCTACAGTTTTAGAAATAGGATAAAATTAAAATTAATATTTTAATGATTTTATATTTTTAAAATTTTAAAATATACATACTTAAAATTGACATTTTCTATATTTTATTTTTTTATTTTTAACAGTTTTATTTATCTTTATTTATCTTTATTTATTGTTTTAAATATATTTATTGGGTTCAAAAAATATTCTATTTATATTTTTTTTTTTTGAATAAAAATACACAAAAAATAAAATAAAAAATAAAATATTATTTTACATATTATTTCGAAGTTAATTATAAAACATTTTTTAATGTTTTAGGAAATAAAATATTAACAAACATGAATTAAAAGAATTTTACAACAAACAATCTTTACATTACTATATAATCTTTGAAAAAAAAAAAATGAGATTTAAAAATATTTTGTTTAAAATTATTTAATGATATATGAATGAGACCTATCATTCAATTTCTAATTTTTTATCATTGAAAATATTTATTTTGATATTTTTATTTTTATTATTATATTTTGTGTATTATAGTTTAAAAATAATTATTATTGCTGTATGAATGAAAATTCATTTATTTTTAAATCAGAAATTAAAAAAAAAAAAAATTATTGTTATAAAAACCCTTAGGAGCCTCATATATATAAAACAAAAAATATTTATGTTAATAAATAAAGACATCTGTTATTTTAAATAGTGTGGTTCTATAAATAAATACTGGTTTTTTTTTTTTAAAAACAAAAAATTTAGTGTGGGAGTGATAATAGCAAAAAAAAAAAAAAATTTAAATAAATGTAAAACTAAAGTAGTGTCACGCTTTTATTTTATAATATAAATAAATATAGTAATAATTAATTATCATACCTTGAATATTATAATACATGAATCTTGTTAATCAAAAGTTATACTTTGAACACAAATTTGAGTAATGAAATATTTAAACCTTTTTATTATCTTTTAGATGAATTGCTGAAATAATTAAAAACACATCCAAATACCACCACACCACACCACACCACACCACACCACACCACACCACACCACACTCTAACAATAAAATTAGAAAATGCAACATTCTTAACCCTAACAACTAATAATTATTGGGTAAAAATAGGTGTGTTTATAAAAATAAAATAAACTATCATATGAATAGATATTTTTTTAATTTTATTTTTTTTTATAAAAAAAATAAAAAAAATAAAAAAAAAGAAAGAAAAAAGAAATTTTTTATTTTTTAAAATTTAATAATTTGAATTTTTTTAAATGAAAATTATTATCAAAATTTTTTTTTAAATTTATTATGGAAACCTTAAAATAGATTGACTGTTTATTTTTTTCTTTAAAGAAAAAAAAAATAAAAAGTATAAATTAAAATATTATAATATTTTATTATTTATTATTATAGAATGATTTCAAGCAAAGCAACACCACTAACAGAATTTAAATTATCAAATAAAGATTTTAAAGAATCATCATTAACAGTCCAACCTATAGTTGGTGTTGAAGATGGCATTGTAATTAAAAATCTCTTAAATGAAGAAGAATGCCATTTAATTGATAAAAAACTATTTATAGAAAATGATAATAAAGAATATATTAAACATGTAAGTGAATACATTAAAATGGGTAGTCATGTATATTACAACATTACTAATTTATTTTATATTTTATATTTTAACAAATAGGGTTTAAGAATCCACAAGAATTCAAAAGAATTTGCAGATACATTATTTGAAAGAATTAATAAATATTGTGTAAAGGAATTAACAAAGAAATCACCAACTAACCCAGATTCATTCGATCAATGGCAATTAAAAACAGTTTCGGATAAATTCAGATTCATTAGATATAATGTAGGTGAAGAGTTTCCAAATCATGTCGATGGAGAAGCTAGACCCTCCAGTGATCAAATGTCCTTCTTTTCATTATTAGTTTTCACTAATGAAGGTGGTGGCAAAGATTTTACTGGTGGTGAATTCAGATTCTTCAAAAAGGATTCAAATCTTCAACTTGTCGAAATTGCTTCAGTTAAACCTGAAAAAGGATTGGCCATAGTATTCCCACATGGAGTTATTCATGACAGTGTAACTATTTCAAATGGTACCAAACACTCTATCAGAACTGATGTTGTTTATTCATTAAAAAAATAATAAATAACCATTCAATAAAATAATTTATGTAATAGTATTAATTTAGAAATAAATAGATTTTAAAATTATATTTTAGGAAAAAAAAATAAAATTAAAAACAAAAATAATTTTTTTTTTTTTTAAAAGATATTAGATAACAAATGATTTTTTTTAAAAAATAAATTGAAAATTATTCAATTTGATAATAAATTTATTTTATCTTTTTATTATTTATTTCTATTTAATTATTATTTATTAATTTTTTTTTTACCATCCAATCAAAAATAAAAAAAAATTATTTTTTTCAAAATTTTTTTTTAAAATTTTTTAATTTTTCATTTCATTTCATTTCAAATATACATTTCATATTATACACATAATATAAATACAAAATAATAATAATGGCAAGACAATCATTGGAACACATTCTCTTTATGCAATTAAAAGAAGATATGACAGAAGCAGAATTTAAAAAATTAACCGATTGCATTGAAGAACTTAAAGGTTTACCAGGTGTTTTAAACATTTCATTTGGTAAAAACTTTTCAGATAGAAGTGGAGGTTATAACTATGGTTACAGAGTTTTATTTGATTCAAAAGAAGCTTTAGATATTTATGGTCCACATCCAATTCACGAAAGATTCAAATCATTACTTAATGAAGTTAGAACTGGTGCACCACTTGTTGCTGATTTCTTTGTTCCAGAATTCCCATATCCAAAATATTAAACAATAAATAAATAAATAACAAATATATGAATAAATAAATAAATAAAAATATAAAATACAACATTGTATATAAAACAATAATATAATATTATATAACCATTTAATTTAATTATAAAGTCTTTATTTATTGGTTTTTATTGTTTTTAATTTATATTATTGTTTTTTTTGTTTTATTCTTTTATTACGATTAGTCATCCATATCAAATTTAAAACCTTTATTTAATTGAACAGCCTTTTTGTATACAAGATTAGCAGTTGCAATATCTTGGATTGAAGTACCAGCTGATTTATAAACAGTAACTAAATTGTTTTTATGATCATTATAATTGTATTTTTTGGATACTACATCAGCAATTTGACCTTTGATATGGGATTTTGTAATGGAGCCTTCTTTAATTGGAATAGCAAGCTCTCCAGATACCATAGTACTGTTTATATCGTCAACAATTAAGTTTGCTTTAATAATAGTTGTTGAATCTAATTCTCTATTGGCTGGTCTACTACTACCAACAGAGCAAATTAAGAGTGGTTTATCTCTTGACTGTAACTCTTCACCATTAAAGAGTGGCTCGTCTGATGATGTTGCAGTGACGATAAGGTCAACACTCTTTAAAATACTACTGATTTTGTTATCATCTAAATTCTCAAATTCAAAAGAGACACCTTTATATTTTGGAGATATTTCATTGACCATTTTAGAAATGTTGGATTTGGTTCTAGAGAGTATGTAGACAGTTTTAATGGATGGTCTAACAGTTAACATCACTTCAATGTGTAATTTAGCTTGCAATCCACCACCATAGACCAACATTGACTTGATGTCATCTTGGGTTAAATATTTGCAAGCTACAGCACTGCCAGCAGCAGTTCTTAAGCCAGTTAAATAAGTTGCACCAATAATTGCAGTTGCGACACCTGTTTCCAAATCATTTAAAATGATGGTTCCTGGAGCTGTTGGTAAACCCTTTTGGCTATTTCCGCTAAAGGATGATACTACTTTAATACCAATGGACTCATCGACAATAAATGATGGTTTAAAGTATACACTGCCCAGTAATTTCTTCTCGTCTTGCTTTTCATATGAAGAGATGATAATTCTATCGGGACATACAACTTGGTCTTTGGATTGTTTTAAGAAAACATTTTCATTTACATCAATTGCCTCTTGCAATGTGATTAATTCTTTTATAATTGATTCTTTAATGATTAACATGTTATTTTAATTTTATAATTATTGAAAAGTAATAATTTTATTTATTTTTTAAATTTTTGATTTTATTATTATTATTTTAACTGAATAAATCTAGAGATTATTTTTTAATTATTTTTTAATTTTAATTAATTGTAAAAACAATGTGATGCTATACTAGTTTTATTTATTTATACTTGGTGTGAGTGTGTAAAAAATATTTAATATTTTATTTTGTTTGGGTTTACTATTATTGATTGATATATGCCGAATTTTTAAACCTCGACTTTAATTGATAATCTTTCAAAATAAATTAAAGGTGATGTGTGAACAAATGGGTGTTTAATTTTAATAAAAAAAAAAAATAAAAAAAAAACTTATTTTTGAAATTTTTTTTTTTTTATTTTTCCCAATTTATTTTTTTATATTTTTATATTTTTATAATTCCCATCTTATCTTCGAGAATGCCATATTTTTCTAGAAAAAACCAGTAAAAATCATGTTTATCCTTCTCCATCATTATCAACAAATAAAAAAAAAAATAAAAAAATAAAAAAAAAAAAAAATAAAAAAAAAAAAAATAGAAAAAGAAAAAGAAAAATAGCAAGTAAATCATTTTGATCAATTGGATTTCTTTAATCCCTTCTTTTTTATTTACTTGCATATTATTTTTTTTTTTTTTAAAACTTTATCCCCACAATCAAATCTGATCAATTATTATTTAATAATATTATTTTTATTTATTTTTTTTTTTATATATTTTTTAGATTCTGGTTTTATTTTTATAAATCTTGTATATTTTATATGATACAAATGAATTATTAAAATATATATATATAATATGAGAAAAATTTTGTTTTCTTTTTTATATTTATTTAATAATAAATAATAATATCTATAAATATCTCTAGATTAACAACTATTTTTTTTTTTTATTTAAATATTTTTAATTTTTTATTAAAAAGATAATTTTTATTTATTTTTTAATAAATAAAATACTAATTAATATACTATTTATATTTAAAATAATCTTTTTTTTCTTTTTTTTTTTTTTTTTTATAAAATTTTAAGTTATCATATACGATTTTTATTGCATTTTAATTCTATTATAATAATTATTATTCTGGGTAATTATTATAATCGATTTTATAAATTTTAATATTAAACCATTTGTTTTAATTTTCCCCAAATGCATCATCAAATCATCATGTTGATCAGCTACCCCTGATTTTTCACTTTTCTATTTTTTTTTTGTATTTTATAATTTTTAATATATACAGGCTCTTGTTTTTATTTTTTTTTTTTTTTATTTATAAATTTCAAAATATATTTATTGAAAATAATATCTACAATGGTAATTCTTAATATTTTTTTATATCATTCTATTTCTTAAATCGCCTCTATAAATTCTTGCTAAAAATAATACAACTGTTAATAATATATTTCTTTTTGTTTTCCTTTATTGTTTCTTTAATATCATATATTATTTTTAAATTCCATATTGATGTTAAATCGTTTTTTATGATACTTTTAAAATAAATAATAAAATCATACTCTAAAATGGATTGAAATTTTTACAAATTATTTTTTTATGAGGGTTGAAAATAAAATATAAAACAATATAATTATTATATTTTTTACCCCTCTTTTATAAACACTCAGAATGGAAATATTTAAAATAAAACATCATGAAAGAAGCATAGAAACCACATTCTATCACACATAAAAAAAAAAAAAAAAAAATAAGATTTACATATAAACAAATTGATATTTAAAAAAACACCGCTTCCCCACATAACAAAAATAGATTATAATGATATTATTATTATTGTTTAGAAATAATTTTATTTATTTATTTATTTATTTTTATTTAATAATATTAAATATTCCATATCAAAATTTAATTCTTTTTTAAAATTTATTTACTTTTTTTTTTTTTTTATTTTGACATCGAAAAATTAGTTGTGGTGATAATATTTTCTTTTAAACAAAAGTTTTAAAGTATTGTATAAAATAAATGAGTATTTGATTTGATATAAATCATCAAAATATTATTATTATTATTATTTTTAGTTTTTATTATTTTCTGAAAGAGTTGTGTGTGTGGGTTTTAATTTTTTATAATGCATACACATATTGACTTAATAATAATTAGATAGTTATAACAATAATTGTATAAAAATAATAATTTTACATACTTAAACTCTATAAAAAAATTATAATTTAATTTTTGTTGTTGATGTTGTGTATTTTTTACCTCTATATTGTTAGGTTAAACCATAATTGAAAACTATTTATTTTATTTTTGTGTATTTAATTTAATTAAATTTATTAATTTATTATGTTATTATGTATTTTAATTTTTTTTTTTTTAAAAAAATAAATATCAATAAATTAACTTAAATTTAAATAAAAAAAAATAAATTTAAATTTAAAATCATACACATTTAACTAATTGTTTATATTCTTATTAATATTCATTTTTAAAATTTACATTAAATTTATAAAAAAAAAAAATATTATAGCACTATACAATAAAAATATATAATATATTAAACTTTTTTTATATTATATCCTCCCAATACTATTTACTAGCTAAATTTTGCATTTTAATGTAAGTATGTTTTATAAAATAATAATAATTATTTTTATAAACAAAAATAAACTTTAAAATAAATAAAACTTTAAATAAAAAAAAAATAAATAAATAAAAAATAAAATATAAATAATAAAAATAAAATTAGAAATAGGATTAAAATTCAAACTATTATTAGTATCTTTTTATTATAGATGTATTAATAATAAAAAAAATAATAAAAATAAATATTTTAAAAAAAATAATATTATTTAAGAAGAGGAGTGGTGTTGAGTAGTTATTTTATTTGGGGCGATAAGATATTAAAAACATATTTGTGTGTACCATATATTTAACAAAATTAAATCATTATCCTCTATTACTATAAATATACGGAGGGAGTATTTTAGATTTAAAAAACAATAATAACAATAATAAAAATAATAAAAATAATAATAAAAATTTATTTAAAAAAAACAACAATAAAAATTTTATATATAACATTTATTTCATCATGATTACAAGTATCAATATATCAATCCTAATTTGGGCTTGGTTTCAACATATAATTGTATACCTAATCTAATACAATCACTGCACACCCACTGTTATTATGGTTATTGTATTTAAAGTATATATGATTACAAAAAAACCTAATAAACAAACATATATTTTCATTATCCCTTCAACAATCTGTTTATTTATCACACTCACCTTACAATTAAACATGTATACTGTATTATACCTTATAATCGTATTACATTTATAAAAAAAAAATAATATCACATTTATTTTACTATTCTTTTTGATACTAATACCATTATTTTAATTATTAATATTTTTATTATTTTTATTATTTTTATTATTTTTATTATTATTATTATTATTAAAAACTATAATAATTTTTATATTATTATACTATTTTTTTTTTTTTTTTTTTTTCCCCATTTTTTTTTTTTTTTAAAAAAAAATTAAAATTTAAAAAAAAAACCAAATCCAAATTTTTTTAAAAAAAAAAAACCAATAAAAATAATTAAATTTAAAAAAAACCAATAAAATGCATTAAAAAAACCAATAAAATTAAAGAAAATCCAGGTTAATTTAATTCAATATTAATTTAAAATATAAAATTCCCTAAATTACCAATTAAAAATTTTAAATAAATAAAAACTTAATTTTTTCATAAAAAGAAATATTATTTATTGGGACAAAATGGAAATAATAATAAAAGTCCTAAAGGGGAATGGAAAAGGAACCAAAATTTTAAAAAAACCCTGTTGGGGGGCAAAATTTTCGTGCATCACCCCTGCCCCCCTTCCGTGACTTCTTTTTTTTTTAAA